TCTTGTGGTTGTGTGGTTGCTGGACGTCTGGCCAATCTCGACCACAACCTCCAGGTCCTCTTGATTGAGGGTGGAGAGAACAACTTGAACAACCCATGGGTCTTCCGTCCGGGTATCTACCCGAGGAACATGAAGTTGGACAGCAAGACTGCCACTTTCTACTACTCTCGTCCCTCGGAGTGGCTCGATGGCCGCCGAGCTGTTGTGCCCGTCGCCAACATCCTCGGAGGTGGATCATCCATTAACTTCATGGTAAGAGCTTCCCATCCACATTCTCATTAGCAGTTATTGACTTCCCATTAGATGTACACCCGTGCCTCCGCGTCCGACTACGACGATTTCCAGGCCAAGGGTTGGACCACCAAGGAACTCATTCCTTTGATGAAGAAGCACGAGACCTACCAACGTTCCTGCAACAACCGCGACATCCACGGTTTTGAGGGACCCATCAAGGTCTCGTTCGGTAACTACACCTACCCGATCAAGGAGGACTTCCTCCGTGCCACCGAATCTCAGGGCATCCCGACCACCGACGATCTCCAGGACTTGACCACTGGCCATGGTGCCGAGCACTGGCTCAAGTGGATCAACCGCGACACCGGACGACGATCTGACTCTGCTCACGGCTACATCCACAGCACCCGCGCTGTTCACCAGAACCTGCACCTCCTCACTAGTAACAAGGTTGAGAAGGTCATTCTTGAGGGAGACCGCGCCGTTGGCGTCAAGGTTGTCCCGACCAAGCCTCTCCACCCCGAACAGCAGATGTCGAGGGTCATCAAGGCTCGCAAGCAGATCATCGTCTCCGGTGGTACTCTGAGCTCTCCTCTCATCCTTCAGCGCTCTGGTATCGGTGACCCAGAGAAGCTCCGCAAGGCTGGCGTCAAGCCTCTTGTCGATCTTCCTGGTGTTGGTCTCAACTTCCAGGATCATTACTTGACCTTCGCCACCTACCGCGCTAAGCCTCACGTCGAATCATTCGACGACTTTGTCCGTGGCGACCCCAAGGTCCAGGAGGCTGTCTTCCAGCAATGGAACATCAACGGCACTGGCCCACTCGCCACCAACGGTATCGAGGCTGGTGTCAAGATCCGACCGACCGAGGAAGAACTCAACATGATGGACAGCTGGCCATGCAAGGAGTTCCGCTCTGGCTGGGACTCGTACTTCAAGGACAAGCCCGACAAGCCCGTCATGCATTACTCCGTCATTGCTGGTTGGTTCGGTGACCACATGGTCATGCCACCGGGCAAGTTCTTCACCATGTTTCACTTCCTCGAGTATCCCTTCTCTCGTGGTTCCACGCACATTGTGTCGCCAAACCCGTACGAGGCCCCCGACTTCGACGCTGGCTTCATGAACGACAAGCGCGACATGGCTCCTATGGTCTGGGGTTACATCAAGTCTCGTGAGACTGCCCGCCGCATGGACGCCTACGCCGGTGAGGTGCAGGCTATGCACCCCTTCTACGCCTACGACAGCCCAGCCCGTGCCAAGGATATGGATCTTCAAACCACCAACGCCTACGCGCTCCCTGGTAACATCACGGCCGGTATCCAGCACGGATCTTGGACTATGCCCATCGAGAAGGGTCGTGCAGCCAAGCCCAACTTCTTGAGCTCGAGCTGCCAGGACATTCAGGAGGACTTGCAGTACTCCACCGAGGACATCAAGCACATTGAGGACTGGACCAAGCGTATGTATCCCCTTACTCATGATTCGTCGAACTTCTCACTAACACACTACAGGCCACGTTGAGACCACCTGGCACTCGCTCGGTACTTGCTCCATGGCACCCAGGAACGGCAACTCCATCGTCAAGCACGGTGTGCTCGACGAGCGCCTCAACGTCCACGGCGTCAAGGGCCTCAAGGTCGCCGACTTGTCCATCTGCCCCGACAACGTCGGTTGCAACACGTACTCGACTGCGCTCCTCATTGGCGAGAAGTGCGCCGTGCTTACGGGTGAGGACTTGGGCTACAGCGGCAGCGCCCTCGACATGAAGGTCCCCAACTACCACGCCCCGAGGGAGATTGCTGGATTGTCGCGCTTGTAAAAAGTCGCTGGGATAGGATGTCTGTTATATAGTTTTCATGATTCAAATGAGTTAATGTTATGTTGTGTATAGTTACATTTGTGTCTCGTCATTGTGATTGTGGTTGTGACGTTTGGTTGTGACTGCTGGCTTACTCTTCCGACGATGTCGTGATCACGCTAGTACCCATCTCCACCTCATTCATTGGTTGTTCCTGAAGTGCTAGCCGCTGACCCACATCGCATGAAATGTTTAGTCGGAGACCGGAGGCACCGCGTACCTCGCTGTGTAAGCCTTCTTGTCTGTCTTTACATTCCACTTTTCCTTTTCCCTTCCTAGTCATCGCGGACAGTCGCCAAACCCAGCCACCATGTCCGCACTAACCCTCAAACGTGCATCGCAAACCGCGACCAAGATCACGCGACCAGCCTTCCAACACACCATCCGCAATCTAGCAACCGTATCACCAGTACAAATAACGACCCGCAACCACAAAATCGTCGTAATCGGCGGCGGCTCAGCCGGCATATCCCTCTCTCACCAACTCCTGCGCAAAGGAAACTTTTCTCAAGACGACATCGCCATCATAGACCCCGCGCAATGGCACCACTACCAACCAGGCTGGACGCTCGTAGGCGGCGGTCTAAAAAAGAAAGAAGATCTGCGCCGCCCCTTGAAAGAGCTCATGGATCCACGCTTCAGATTCTACAACAGCGCTGTAGGAAGCTTTGCACCAGAGGAAAATTACGTCCTGACGAGTAACGGCGAGAAGATCGGGTATGAACAGCTGGTCGTTGTGCCCGGTATCACGCTTGACTATGGTAGTGTGAGTGGCTTGAAGGAGGCGTTGGAGGAGAAAGATGCCATGGTGAGCACGATCTACGACTACGCGTACTGCGATAAGGCGTATGCGAATGTGAAGAAATTCAAAAAGGGTGATGCGGTGTTTACGCAGCCAGCCGGCGTGGTCAAGTGTGCGGGCGCGCCGCAAAAGATCATGTGGCTTGCGTTGGATTACTGGAAGGATGCTGGGCTGTATCCGAAGGATATCAACGTCGCTTTTGCGACGGGATTGCCTACGATGTTCGGTGTGCCGAAATAGTAAGTCTTCTCCTCTGCCTGCCAGCATGTAAACGAGGCAGAAATGTGCTAACACCCCACCAGCGCAGCAACGCTCGAAAAGCTCCGCGAAGAACGCGGCGTAGAAGGTCTCTTCCAACACGACCTTACTTCCATCAACGGCAACACCGCAACCTTCACATCCCCCAACTCCCCCACCCCAGTAAAGAAACACTTCGACTTCCTGCACGTCGCGCCCAAGAACGTGCCTTGGGCGTTCATCAAATCTAGCGCTCTCGCAAACGAAGCAGGCTACGTTTCTGTCTCGGATTCTACAACGCAACACACTTCTTACCCCAACATCTGGTCCATAGGCGACGCGTCCTCTTTACCGACATCTAAAACCGTGGCTGCCATCACGGCTGAAGCACCGGTGTTGGTGTCTAACGTACTCTCAGCGATGGAGGGCAAGGAGCTGACGGCTAGTTACGATGGGTACACGTCTTGTCCGTTGCTGACGGGGAGGAAGGAGGTGTTGCTTGCGGAGTTTATGTATGGGGGTGTGCCGAAGGAGACGTTCAATGGGCTGCTGGGAATTGACCAAGGGGTGCCGCGGAAGGCGTTTTACTGGCTGAAGAAGGACTTTTTTCCGTGGGTTTATGGGAAGTATCATGTCAAGGGCGAGTGGGCGGGGCCGAAGGGGCTGGCTAGGTGAGTGGAAAGTGGGATGGGTTCGCGCCACGTGTGGCCGGGTAGACGAATCGTCGGCATGTGAGTGTATTTTGGCGCTTGGGAAGCTGCGGAGGCATTGTTAATCTATTTCAGAAATACCTACCTTCGTGATCTGAATCCAAGTATTATCGTAGCTGTTGCAGCAGCATACTGTGCAATAATCGTGGGCAATCGCTTGTTGCTTGTGATTGGTGGTGCTAAACAGAACTTACAGAGCTATGGCCGCGTACCGTATCAGCTAAAGGAAACTCGTCGAGATTGTGCGCCTGTTTACTGACGTCTTTTTGAACAAGTGCCTCATTGGAAGGTCAAAGCCAGATAAAGCGTTGTCGCCGGCCTGTGGCGGCGCAATTGGTTTTGCGCGGTCCGTCAAGCACCGCGACTGCGAATTGACGGGTACGTGCTCACCTGGGCAGTCTAGCGCTTGTGCCACCTCTGACACTTCCATTACCTCCGCCGTTTCTATTACTTCTACCACCCTCACCAGCCCTACCACGCCCATCACCTCCACCACCTCCACCACTTGCGATCCGCCATCAATCCCTGCAGCTAAGACATATTGGCGACCTTGCCCGTCTACCCATCTCTATTTGCACCATGACGAAACCCAACCTTCGAAGGTACCCGCGCGTACATCATCACCGGTATCTACAAGATCAACGAACTTGGTGAGAAGGAATACCACCTGACCCTGAGAACTTGGAGCGCCGTAACTGGATTTGAAGAGCGCGACGTCAGAAACTGGGTCACACAGACGGTCTTACCTTCATTGCCCTTGTTCATTGAATGGCGAGATGGCTGCCTCAGCCTCGAAGACAAGCCTGCTGCAGTTATACGTCAAGACATGATGCAGTTCATGAGCGATGACTTGTGTTGGAGAACGTTCTCATTTGGGACTGAACATGGCGGCACGGGTTGCTTTTGTACGAGCAGGGTAGGAGGATACATGACACTTTCAATTTTTCAAGGAACTGGCAACAACCACCCTGGCGACAACGTCGGCGTTTGCAGTCACCCAGTCTCTCGGATGAGGCCCCCAGAAGACGACAAAGTGGCGAATGCTTCACCGGTGCGGCCTCTATTTGCTAGCCGGGCACCGAAAACGATAATACAGCGAAGGAAACAAGAGGACATCTGAGCGTATGACACTCATGCTGGCATGCATTTCCACGACATGAGGGGACTGTATGAATGCAGTAAATGCCCAAAGCTTTGGTACGACCTGAACCTTCTAGCTTCACACGAGATCAGGTGTAAAGGCAAGGAGAGTTCGAAGTACGCGCGGTTCGACGGCGCACATCGGGCTGAATACATACCTCAGTCAACAACTGGCAAAGCGAGAGGCGTGCTCGCCGGGGCAAGGTCTTCCAGTGCCGCACCGAAAGCATGGAAGTCTGGAGAAGAAGACATGGCAAAAGGCCTACCGATATTCGCCAGAAAAGTCTTCGACACGTTGATTGACGACCACGGTAGCGACCTGGATGTCCCGGGAACACTTGTCGCGTTGTATGACGTCCACACGTCATGCGTTCCAACGGGAAAGTACTGCCAAGCACACACTACCATCGATCCGTCCATAAGGTCGTACTATGCTCGCGCGTACAAGTCTACCAACACGATCGACAAGAGCTTAGAGGATTTCGCCGCTCGCGGGATCAAGCCCTTCGTCCTGTCTATAGGTCTAGATGGCCTTGCGTGCAAGGTTGAACTGATACTCCCGTGGCTCAAACGCTCGCCGCCATTCACCCTAATAATCCGGGAGACTGAGTTAGTATATGGTATGGAAGCAGCATATTTCCCTCGGCAAGAATTCAGCTTTCACCATGGGCTTTTCGAGTCCCACGACCTCCTTGCGGGATTGTCCACACAAACGGCGGTAGATGACGCCGACAAGAGCCTACTGGTGGCCTGGAAGGCTTGCCAAGACTGGAAAGACTACGGTCAAGCACACAACGGTCGCTCGATTGGGCGCGACGGCGAACCGCAACGCGTGCTCAAGAAGGCAAAACGTGGCCCAAAGATATCGCCCGTGGCTCCGACTGGCAGAATCACCAACATTCTCAAAGCAGCATGAGCCACACAAGGACATAGATCATGCAAACCGCCACGACTACATTATACCTGGTCTTTACGACTCTACGAAGTCACGACACCCTCGCTACGTGTTTATCTTCCTACCATTTATCTGTTTAATTGTTACGCCGGTAGAGCATGTCATATGCCATATGGCGAGGAACTCTCGGACTACATCAATTGAGAAGGTCTCGCTAAAATAGTTGGCGAGAGGAGGTAGAAGACTAGCACGTCTCGTACTACGGTTTCGTGTATACGAGATGGCGACATAGGCGTTAATGACACTCATCTCGATAAACACAGTAGAGAGTTGTGTATACATCATTGTCTTCAAAAAGCGGATTGAAGGCGTATTTACGCTATGTCCTTCGGGGTCTAGACGGGCACGTAGCAGACTACGTCAAAACCTTTGTTCGAAGACGTCGCCAGGTCCAAGATGGTCATGAGAGGGCAGCTCGGTGACGACGCCGAGATCATTGAGTGTCTTCCGCCAGGAGGAGCGAGGATCCATTGCGATCAGGTGAGCAGCGGTTAGGAGATGTCCACAAACGCCACCAGATTTGCGGCCTCCACTGGCCGAATCTCATGGAGTACCTGTACCAAGCCCTTTCAACGATGGCTTTACGTATTCAACAGTCGCGCAACGCGGGCACGCGCTATCACCACCAACGGGATATGTTATCTCCTAGCCGTTGTTTAGTATTAGGATTCATCTTAACGATAGCTATTGTAATCTTCCCTGTCAGCTTTGACAATTAGTTATATCGATGGTGCACTGTATAGTAGCTTCCTGGCTATCCCCTGTCATACAGCTAGCATCCTGGCAACTCTAGCTGTAGCTTTCTAGTGCACGTATTGGCCTTAGTCATCGTTATTCATGCTGCAACGTAGCCATCCAGCTGGCTTATGCGTGTCACTTGTAAGTTCTCCAGAAGCTATCTTCTCTCCAAAGGCATGTCTGTCACTGGTGGATTGGAGCTGACCACACCGGCTTCGTGGCGCCTCTGGTAAATGCCCTCGATCAACAGTCGCACGATCGGAGCCGACCTACTCTACCGATCTGCCCTTGCCCTTGCCTTTGGCCTTTGTGATAGCATCCTCCTTGGCTGATTGCACGTCTTTGTCGTCGCGGCCTCGCACACGATCCCGGACTATGCCGAATACACCTTTCGCGATCTCCTCTGTCGTCATCTTCTCCCGGTCCTCGAGGCCCTCACTTGCAGATTGCAGCTCACCAAAAGCGGCAAACATGGAGTTGGCTTTCTTGATCATGCCCGCCTCATGCAGCTCCTGGTAAGTTCCTTCGGTGAACAAGCGCACAATTTCGACCTCTTCTTCTTGTCCAAAACGATAGACTCGTGAGGCCGCCTGATGCTCTGTAGCCCAATTGAACGCCGGCTCAACATGCACGACGGTAGCACAACGATGTTGAGCGTCATGGTCAGCGATGTTGAGAGCATACGTTGTTATGAGGATTTGCGGCATGTCCTCTTCGTTGAAGGCCCGGATATTCTAGTGACGCTCGTCCGGAGGCATGTTGGTGTCCAGGAGGACCGCACGAATTCCAAGGAACTCCACAAGCTTCAGGAACATCTCAGCAGATCTGGGGAATTGGAAGGTTGCGAAGATCTTCCGGTGGCTGGCGACCTTGGTGTTACCCAAGATCACCCGCTGGATTTCCCAAAGCAAGTACTTTATCCTGGGCGAGCCCCACAAGAATTGCCGTAGAACCTCTTCGTCGCTATCCAGCGGGCGATCTATATCCTCTGGGTTCAAGGCTCCAGCTGTCTTCATCCTCGCGGTGAGAAGAGGGAGAACCTCGCGCCGCTGCGCACGGATGGCCGCCGTCGACATATTGTCGAGCCCGGAGAAGCCGATGTGCGTACACAGCACCGACAGCTTTGCGAACTTGGATCCGATCTTTGCTAAGTCCGTCTTGGAGTCCTTCACCTTCGCGCTCTTTGCCACCGAGGCCGCTTCGACGTGCTCGGCAAACTCACGCTGGTATCTGTCTTCCCGCTCGTTGTAGGTAGCCAAGTCATCAGCGGTAGTCAGGGCTTCCCCACGAGGACTGACACAGGATCTTTTCATCGCTTTTCAGTGGGCGATTCTTATCTTCCGAGTTCAAGGCTCCAGCTTTCTTCATTCTGGCGGTGAGAAGATGAAGACCCTCCTTTCGCATCGCGCGAATTGCCCATATTGACATTCGAGCCATGAGAACCCAATGTGGGTGCAGAGCACCGAAAATTTGGAGAATCTGGAGCTGGGGCTTCTATGCACTGCCTTTCTGGGTTTCTTTTGGCGGCCGTATGCTTCCATGTAGCTACCCAGGGTGTCGCTTTCGAATTGTCAGACAACTGTAAATGGTTTGTATTCCTCTGCAATATTTATATATTGATACCCGGTATCTTCTTGTTGGGTTTTAGGCTTCTAACTATGTATAATCCCATGGATCAAACCATCGGTAAAGCTAGTGTCTTCTCCAAGCTGATTGATAACATTGTTGGACAGATGGATTAAGGAATTGTAGGCTCCTCGATACCTACATCACGAAAGCATGAACCAAAAACAAGTTCAATGTTTCCTCTGGTCTCGACAACGTCATTACTGAGCAAGTTTCTTGACAGAACCAACATGGCAAGGATCTTGTGGACGCGTGTGGCGACGATCTTTACATCCACTTCATCCATGATGGCCTTCTTGATATGCCTTCCAATGTAATAACGGAAGGCTGCTGTTGAACAGCACTTCAAGCTGTCAAGATTGGCCGGGTGGTAATTGTCGTATGGGTTTTCTGGGAAAGGTGCTGGTGTGTCTACCAGTACTGATCGGCCATCCACCTTCTGCCGGGATTTACGGTCGAGACTTGACAGTTGGTCGCGGTGGTACTTCAGCAGCGCGGTCTAGTACGCGCACTACCAGCCGTACCATATCTCTGTCCTGATCTCCATGTCACCAAGACCATCCATCGAGTTGTAGTCGCTCTTCTAACCCCCGATCGACTCAGAGCGGTCCTTAACGACAGTGTGATGCAGTGCCTGGAAGAAGCGATCGAGTAGTACTTGTTACTATTCGAGACCCTGGAATAGTACATATCGTTGGGGCTCTCCTGAACCGGAGCCGGCACGTCCTTCACGATGATACGACCGTCGATCTTCGTGTGGTCTTTGCGATCCAGGCTTGGTGGACGATCACCGTTGTATCTTATGAGCGCAGGCCAGTGCGAGCACTGCCACCCGTCTTCGATGGACTCCTTGATTTGTTGAGCATCTAGCTCGTCCACCAAGCTGCAGTCGCTGTGCCAATCCTCGAGGGGCTCAGAGCGGTTGTTTACGCCGGTCGCCAAGCCCTCATTGAACTGGTCATACCGCGACTCTCGAACCTTGTCAGTGCTGTGGTTGAGTTTAGGTTGGCGACCCATCCCCATCCGACGAACTCCAGGAAAGCCAAGTACCCATCAAAGTCCAGGATAGTGTCAACAACAGACGAACCTGTGAAGACAGCATTGAAGTAGGCGTCAAACGACATCAGGACTTTTCCTTGGCGAGTCCGATCACATCTACGGATGCATTGAGCCTCATCAAGAATGATGCGGAGAAAGAGCTTGTGCCGTTGCCCACGCGCACTCTGGGTATCTTTCAGGTTTTGTAGCTGGCTGTAATTTGCCACCACTACTGTGTGGCCCGCACGAGCTGACACGTACACGCTGCGCCTTTCGTCGAAAAGGAGTCGCTGCTTGCGAGCACCAGCTTCCTCGCCGTGGTTGTAGACGTCACCGTCGATTTTCAGTTGATTGATATCGCGGCTTGCCTCGTCTTTTCGCACTTGCGGATGCATTGTCTTACGTCCTATATGATCCTCAAGAGTCTATCGCGTTCTCCTCACTTCCTCTTGCCGTCTTTGAAGACTTGGAGCTGATTGTATGTAGCCGCCGCAACGGTTGGACCTGCTCGGATTGACGCATAAGCTGCGTGCTTGGGGTAAAACAAGAGGCGCTCCCTCCGAGCTCTGGGTGGTTGACTGTATTGTAGACGTCTCATTCGGTCGATCTTGTGACCGTGGTAGTATAATTCTCTGAAGTGGTCCTGGTTCATCAGTCCTCCGCGCGCCGGGCATCGACTCGGAGTTGCCATAGATAGTGATGACGTCCCGCTCGGTCAGACTAGCGCGAGCATCGCGTAGAGCCACCTGCCACGAGAACATTAGTGGCGACTGGCGTCCTATCGTTCACCATGGCATGTGATACAGGCGAGGTAATTGAGTGAGGCGCTAGACCAGTCGGAGTAGCTAGCTTTTGAAACAGAAACGGACCCGGTGAGGTGGGCGCTCCTCCAGTGATTGGGGTAGGCGTTGCTTCGGTTGAGTGAGTTACCAGGTCAGTCAGAGCACCTAGATGGGGTTGGTTGAGGGCGGCAAAGCCTTTGATCGCGGAAAGAAAGACCGAATGTCCTGCGTCTTGCGGGCCAGGGCGACTTGGGTTGGCTTCTTACGCACCATCTTATACTGTCTAGGCATCGTAGTGCGAGTGAAGGGTGGTGGGATGAAGAAACTTGTTTCGCGACGCGTTATGATCTTAGCGAGACGGCGCGTCACGCACGCGAACTGCGCTCCACCGACCGCGTAGAAACAAATTGAACTGCGCGAACACACTATCTCAGTGCTGGTAGAGTGAACTTCCATAGTATTGCTAGCTCCAGGGAGACACGCACACTGTGCGTATGTTAAGTTTTGTTGAAATGAGCATTAGGTCAGTCAAGGGTTCCTCTGGACCCTGTTGGAAGCGCCAAGGCCGATGCGACTGCCTGTATCGTAGGTGAAAGTGAGAGAAGAGAAAAGGTGAAGGCAGAATCAACGCTACCAGGACCATTTAAGCTCTTTCCACCCTTTTCTTACTGCCTGTCTTCACACCACCTCGCCACATCCTCTGCGACTTGCACTTCGGAAAGAGATGAATACCGATCAGAACAGCGCTGATCCTGGTGCTGGCAAAGCGATGGCGTGGCGAGAGAGTCCCGGAACTGTACAGCCGGATGCCAACTTCACACTGTACGAGCTGGAGCTCACCGACGGCAACTTCCCAGGACATATTCAAATCGCGATTCCAAAGCCCCCGTCCACGGACAGCACCCACCCCAGCTCTTCCCACTGCGAAAACACCAACTCGAAACGTCTGCATCCTTCGGCGTCTACAAATGCGAGGAATTTGAAGCGTAAACGCACTGGTGATGATGCAGCTCGAGCATCGAAAAGGGCCCCATCACCAACGTTTTGTGGGGGAAGAATTGCAGATCTAAGAGGTCCACCAATGGCCATACAGCCAGCATCGAAAAGGGCCCCATCACCAACGTTTCGTAGGGGAAGACTTGCAGATCTGAGAGGTGAACCGATGCCCTTACAGCCAGAGGTTCCTCCTGTGGACACATTCGAGTTCTTGGAATGGGTAAGAAGCGAAATAGTGGGTTATGCGCCAGCAGTTGCCAAACGAATGCTATCAGCGATCGGCTGTTTGAGAGGTCCAGATACTCGGGAGCTTGGCTTCGAGATTGCGTTGAAGATTTTGGGCAGACACACAGCCACGCTGGTGGAAGAAGCGAAAGAGATGAAAACCAGGTACGACAAGGTCCAGAAGTCAGGTGGCCCTGGCGCTAAGTCTGTCTTGCGAACTATCGAACAGGCAACTCGTCAGCTCGACAAGAGAAGGGACGATTTCGCCGAGCGAGTGACGGCTTTCGAAGCGGAAGCGAAGGCATGAGGTGGGATGACAAGAGACGCAGCGAAGCCGTCCGTGGACAGCATTGTTGATGTCGGCTCTCCCAAGTTGTCAGTCAGTTAGTCATGGTTGAGTAGTCATTGGTTTGACCGGTCAGCAATTAGTCCTTCCGCGAGGCTCAAGTACATAGGTACGTGGCTATACTCCCGAGGTCGTCCATTCACTTCATACACGATCTTCCCCCTTTTGTTTTGGCGCTTGCCGACAGCTTAGGCTAACGACCATTACCTTAGAATACGTACGGGAAACAACATACTCAATGAACCAGCATTGAGATTTCAGGATTTATCGGAGCTCTGCATTCCTCAAAGGTCTATTGTCGAATAGTGATGGGATGATGGTAAGAGATGTTCGAAGTTATCAAGTTCAAGTTCAGCTCAACGTCCCCGCACTTACCGCCCGATTACCCGTCAAACCTCCAGCCCCACGAACACGTCCCACCTTCCTGTCGCCACAACTCAACATTTCTAGCCCTCCTCCACGAGATCCACCCAAAATTTCAGTTCTCGATCTCCAACGCCGGCATTCTATTGTTGACATTGTGTAAGTATCAAGTCCAAATTTCTTCATCAATCAGCAACCAATTCACAGAATTGAAGGCACTTTGGCGTACGAGCTACCCAGTCCATCTATCATCAACGCTTGCTAATCCCAAATTTCAGGGAGTGGTTAACGCGCTGGCCTGCTAGTCCTCTGTCTAGAGGGAAGTTAGCCAGTTCCTTCGGGAGCGTGTGTTCGAATCACACAGGTGTCGCTTTAAGGCGTTGTGGCGGGTAAGCTACATCTTCTCTAAACCTCCAAGCCCGCTTACTAATTTCGGGTTTCTAGAGTGGTTATCGCGCAAGACTAGAAATCTTGTTCCTTCGGGAGCGTCAGTTCGAATCTGGCCAACGTCGTCTTTTTGCTCTAGTGGTGGCCTCGTGGTGGTGGTGGTGTTGATAGTGCGATGTTGAGATTTACTTTTTTGGGGCGGGGGAGTTGGGCTTGAACGTTAGAACATTAATGCGAAGCCTGCAGTAATCTTGTCTTCTAAGGAACATCAAACAAGTGCGATGGTGCTGTAGCATGTTGAGTAATATTCAACGTGCACTGAAGACATGGTTCAAGTACTTCTGTATCTTGTTGAATGCTGTGATTAGACTTGAGGTTATTGGCTGATCTCTCGTGATCTCCTTACCTACGATACCCTTCTACATTGACGACCTCCTAATCGATAGTACAGATGACCTTGCCCTTAGTCTTGTTCTCCTCCAACAGCCTATGCGCATCCTGCACCTTCTCCCATGGCAGCACCTTCTCCACAAACAGCTTGAAGCTTCCGTCCTTCATCTTAGGCAACGCATGCTCCACAAGCTGATCCCTCAGCTTGCCTTGGTAGTCCTCGTCTCTCGATCGCAGACTGCTTCCAACAAAGGTACACCTCTTCCTGATGAATGCGCTGATATCTGTTCCCTCAGGCACCTTGGTTCCACCCATGAAGCCCAGATTAACAATAACACCATCTTTGGCGATAGCATCAAGGTTTGCTTGGAAGTAGGATGCACCGATGAAATCCACGATGATGTCTACGCCCTTGCCATCTGTAGCCTTCATGACCTCTTCCGCCCAGTTCTGAGATGTTGTGTTGAATGCGGCGGTTGCACCGAGTTCTTTGACGGCGAAGTCGCATTTGGCGTCTTGACGTGCGGTTGCGTAGACGGCGGAGGCGTTATCGGCGAGGGAGAGTTGGATACCGGCGATCGAGACTGAAGAGGCGGCGGCGTGCCAGAGGATGGTTTTGCCAGCAGCGAATTGGCCGACGAGGTACATGGCTTGGGTTGCTGTGATCCAGGTCTACGAGGACTTTGTTAGCAAAACGATAATTTACGGTGCGCTGGACGCTACGAGAAGGCATTGACTTACCTCAGGAATACCCGCGCATTGCTCCCAAGTCAACTCCTTTGGTTTCCGTACCAACATATGTGTCGACACTGCAATGTACTCGGCATACGCTCCTCCATATGCCAGACCAAAGACCTCGTCTCCCGTCTTGAAGCCCTCCTTGCCCCCGCCTTCTGCGCTCAACTCTGCGATTGTACCCGAGAACTCTACACCAAGGATCTTTGAAGCACCAGGGGGTACTGGGTACATTCCTTCACGTTGCAATAGGTCCATGCGATTCAGACCAAAAGCTTTGATCTTGACGAGCGCTTGCGACTTTCCGAGCTTCGGCTTGGGGATGTCGGTGATGTGGAGGTTCTCGATTGGGCCTTTGCCATCTTTGATGTCTTCGCGAAGTTAGCGGATTCAGCGTTGAAAAGTACAATGATATCGGTACGCACCTACTGCGCGCATCGTGTCGCTCATTGTAACAGTCGAATGGGGTTGTTGGCCGTTGAAAATGAATACCAGTCAATTGAAAGGTGGAAAAGTGGCGCTTTACAATTAGTGAAAGGTTGTCAGAGAGATTGTCAGATTGTCAGATTGTCAGATTGTCAGAATGTCAGAAATTCATAAGGAAAGTGGTAGTCTGTTCCGAGGCCATTCCGGTAGCTACGGAAATGATTGGTAATGACGTTTGAGGGGCAGCTAGTCATTGAGCTTGAGCTATAGTGGGGTCGGACAACATAGGCCGCGGCAATAGACTCGTAATGGTATGGTACAACTTGCTTCATTCGGGGGTTTGTCCGCGCGGAACGTCGTGTGCATCTATCTAACATCCATCATTCGAAGCTCTCATGTACATTACTAAATACTACCAAACGTGATGCAGTCGCTCGAAAGAGACAAGCACGATTCTAGTTGACGAACAAGGTGTCGTCGTCGATGTTGTACTGCTTGATGAGCTGAGCCAGCTTGTTGGCCTCCGCGGCGTAGTTGAGCTTGTTCAAGTTCTGAACCTGATAACGCGGCCTGCAGAATATTAGCAGATGTCAAACCACGACGTGCAGTATACTCACTTTGGCTGATCCTGGTATGTCTCCATCTTTGCCCGCACCCTGAAGTTGAACGTCTTGCATGTAGCCTCTTGCATGACATTCATGAAGTTTTGCGTGTTGTTCTCATCATCTTCCATCTTGATCTTCATGGCATCGTTTGCCGACATGCCAACAATGTCTTGTCCAGCTTCGTCGAAACAGCTGAGCCACAGCGTGCCAGTGTGGTCGCCAACGTTGACGCTAAGCACATAGCGGTATTGAGGTTCAGGGTAGGTAGCCTGGCACTTCTCGCACCACCAGGCACCAGGGTTCTCCTCAATGACCTTCTTGTTGCAACCGGTGTTCGAACACGCAGGGTATGCAATGGTAGTATTCTTGACGTACAAGACAGATGCTCGGAGGCTTAGCCATGTGGGTGTGTCTTGGAGGTAAGCTTCCTCCTCGATGACTGCCGAGATGGGTTTGACTTCGTTCTTGGAACCACCTGAAGCCGAGGTCAAGTTCTGGTGTGTAGAGAATGTCGCAGTCTGTCCAGCAGCATTGAACCATCCTTGCAGCTTGTGAGCCTCATCAATGTCTGGGTCTACCATCATAGTGCCAGAGCTCAGCAGACTCAGGCTTCGTCCGCCAAAGTCGGAGACCTTGGCTCCCTTGAATGCAATAATGGATTCTAGCGGCGCTTCGAAGCTCTCGGCGGCTTTGCCCCAGATGGTAAGTCTGACAGACGTCTGGCTGTCATCGGCTAGTGTCAATTCTCGCTTGCTGTAGTCCTTGTTGGTGTTCTTCGATGTTATCGTAGTAACCTCTGCGACCTCCTTCAAAACACCGATAGTATCGACCGTTGCGTCCTTCTCGATGGTGTTCAGGTCACCAATCTTGGTGAAATTGAATCGTATCTGTGGTTTGTTCTCCTGATCCTCCGCCTTCTCAACTTCGGTGTCGCGTTCGAATTGCAGTTCGTAGTCGTTAGGCAGGTTGGAGAATTGCTTCTTAGCAAGCGTGACTCGGCAAGGTGCTGAAATGTAGTATACGGTGCCCACCTCGAAGACGGGGTAAAGCTTATCGGCGATTTCGGTGAAAGCCGTCGCTCGGATCTCGCCGGTGTCATCGAGTAGGTTTACGCTGAACAGCTTGCCCGTTCCCTTCTGGTTGTGCCATTCTTTCATATCGCTCTTGGCTGTGCATCGTGCGCGGATAGTCCACTTGTGTGCATATGGCGAAAGAGACTCGATGGGGTAGAGGTTGGGATGCGAGGAAGTACCGGGATTGCTCTGGTGAGTAGGGAGGGATCGCTGTTGTTGTTGAGGGGCAGGCGCGGGCTTCGATCCGTAGAAGTTGTTGCCTGAGATGGCTGCGGGTTGTGCCTCAGCGGCCTTGGTGTCGAGAGCTTCGGGCTGTCCAATCTTGTCGAGTTCGCCGTATTGCGACAGGACCTCCAGTTCCATGATGATCAGGATGCTGGCAATTGTTAGGACAGAAGACTTATCAGGGAAGAAAATACGTACTTCTTATCCTTGACACGCTGAGGGTTGTACTTGAGGAGGCGAACTATCGAGCCCTTCTTAAGCTGACCAGAAGTGACAATGTCGTTGGCGGCTGCATGGGATTAGCTACGTCCGTATAGTGCCTGCGCTTGACTTACTCGTCGCGATCATAGTCTGTATGAAGTTGCGAATGTCGCTCAAGACAACGCGGAAGCGCTGCACTGGGTTCGCCTCGCCCGCCTTGGGCTCCATCGTCTTGATCTGCACGCATTGCAGGACGGGATTTTCTACGAAGCAGCCGCTGGGCTGGAAGATGCTCCTAGGCGGTGTCAGAGTGCGACATAGAATTCTTCATCGTGCCATTACTCACTGAATAGCGCCTTGCGTGATTGCTCCCTCTGCCATGGTGACTGTGTATGTGTGTTTGCGTGGTGTTGAGATGGCGTGTGTCGGTGGCGGGCACACGTCGAAGATGAGAAAGCGCGTCGACGCGTCTCGACACGTGACTCAGTGGCCCCGCTCTAACCGCATCCACGCGTCCAAGTGGCTCTGGGGCTGTGCGGGGCTACGTAATTGGCTT